GGGGCAGGGAAAGGGCGGGGGGTGAAGGCAGCTGCCATGGGTAGGGGTTGTCTTTGTACTGCCACAGTCCAGCTGGGTTCGAGTTTGAATCGGCTGTTGCTTGTCTCTAAGGAGAAAGCCATGAAGCAGATGGGAGGAGTGGGCAGAAGTGGAGACCTTGGAAAACTGGTAGTTTAATGAAGCTGATTGATGTTTTTGCACCTCCCTCATGGGGTGCTAGCTGAAAAAAAGATGAGGGATGTTCCTCACCAGTAGAAAGGTAACTTAAAGTAGTGAAAACAGGAAGATTGCTTCCTGGAGACTGAAGTAAAAAAATTCCTATTTATCCAGGCTTATCACATTTCTTCATGTGACAAATCAGGGTACTGAGCAAGTGAGAGCTGAAGTTAATTACAACTCTCTTTCAAATAACCATGTATATAAATAATCTGTCAACAGAGCGAAGCATGCCTTCCCCAGTGATTACTGGAGACTCTGGAAGAGAACCTGACAGTCCCGCAGAGCCAGCCTGGATTACCATTGCAAGACAAAAGCAGAGAGGCATACAACAGGAGCAGGAACTTAACAGAGAAAAACTTGTGACTCCAGATGTTAAGTCAGATACAGAAAAACAGAATAAAGAAAAGGAAAGAACAGAGGTACTTGCAGCACAAATTTATGATGCTTTTGTATCACATTCCTGCAGTATTCTTTGGATCTACTGCTATTATACCTGTCAAATGCTGTCATGATCACAGATGCTTAATAAGTGTAATCGTAACTAACAAAGAGGCTGATCTTGTGAAGGTGGCCCCTGATTATTCAGATAAGTAATTTCATATGTCCGCGAAATCCCGGAGCTATTCTAGGTGTGTAGATTTTTTGGGTGTCCAATACATGCTCACCAGATCTAATATGTTATTATATGCTAAAATAGCCAAAATGAGGTGCTAACTTGTACAATCTCAGATATCTCTCAGTGCAGAAGAATAGAGTCTCTCGGATTCTTTTAAGCACACATTTCATTGTATCTCCCATACCTTCTGATTGATTTAAGACTGAATGAACAGCTTGGTCCCAGAAGCTCCTAGGTAACAATTTTTAGAGCCTTGAGAAGTGAAATAGGATAAAAATAACTTTTGCACTTGCAGACGCTGCCAAGATATAAATTCTGGTTCTTTGTGCACTGATAACTCAGATGCACATGTGGTGACATGGAATACGGGCTAACACTGCCTTTTCAAAGATCCTGTGCAAAAGAAGGTTATAACTGTAGCAAGTGATCTTCCCAGAGGACAAAGCAGTGCTAGCAGAAGCACTCGGCATTAATATAGAATACTAACACGGCTTCCCTGTTCCTGGGCTAGCTCATGGAGGCGAGCAGATTGTGAGGACTGCTGTATTGCCTCGTGCACAGTAAAAACCCTGTGCCGATGCAGGAACATGTGTGTCCTTTACCAGTATAGCATTCCCAGTGCAAATGGCCTACTTTCTTGCTTAAAATGGTTCTGATAGAAACCCGGATTACTATATTATATCGTTGAATAAGGAAAGATCTCTAGATGATGCAAAACAGCAGCGGTTAGACTAACAAGAAATAATACCTAATGAAATGTCTAGGCAAGATTATAAACTGCAATAACGCTGAACGTTGTCATAGTACTTAGAGCACCACGCGTTTAAACGATCCCAAAATACAGTTTCTGTGTCAGAGTAGGAAATTCCAGATTTCAGTTGGCATTATTTCCTAAGATTCATGCCATGCATTTCATTTCCCTGGATCAGCAAAGGGATAAATGTGCCAAGATGCTTCTGACTGCAGTGCATGAGGCTTGGTGCCACTGTACTGCTCCCACTTTCTCTCTCTCCCACGTGGCACCAGACACCACCACTTCAGGACAGTTTTTGCTGGTGGCAAGAGAACTCATCGGAAAATGTGCTTGATTTCTTTTTTATGAAAATCCATTTACCTTCAACCCTCCCAAGCCCCAGTGTCCTAAAACACAAAGTTTGGGAGGTGGAATAGAAACATATGAGCGAACTAGACTCTATCCAAATCCCGTCTATGTTAATAGAGAAGTGCAAAGGGCCTGGAATACGTTTTGCATTGAAGACAATAATAATCTACTCATAGATACGGTTATGAATAAGACAAGATACAGAGGGATAGTTTTTATCTGTAAAGTTCAGTATCATGGATGCTAACCTGAAATCCCTGGGGCTCTCTGAACAGGTAACGGGTTCAAGTGAGAGGAGTGGAACCAGTGTGCAATGAGCAAGCTTGTTTTTTGGATGGCGACAGGCATCTACTCCTTTTGCTCATGTTCTTCCAGATGGGTTTCATTCTCTTTGCATCACTTGGATTTTCTCCCTCTCTGTACCTAGGGATCGGTGAAGCAGCACTGGAGCAAACTTTCACACATGGCACCTAAAACCTCTTCTGAAGAACAGAGCAAGGAGACGAAGTCTGAAATGAAAGAGCCGCTGCCGAGAACCAACTCACTGTCTCATTCTGTCCTTGGTAGGAAAGAAAACACTTTAAACACTGATGCAGGCTGTTATCTCACAACCTTGTCAGAAGATATTGTGCTTGACTGTGCTGGAAAAGGAGTAGGGCCTAGATCCTAATCTCTTCCCCAGTCCAAAATCAACAAGGGCAGATTGTTTCCTCAGCACTCATATCTGAAGTTTTATTTGGTAGAATATTCCTTTTACTACTTTGATTAAAGTAGAAGTCCTGTTATATAAATGTGAATCAAGAATGCAAGGAATTTCCACAGGACTGGGTCCCAAATGTTTTAGTATGAAAGGTAAAATGAATGCAAAATTATTTTCAGTAGCATTCAGTTTGAAAGTGGTTTCCTAAGCAAGCAAGAATGATGTGATCACCAACTGTCTGCCTATTAGTCCTCCATAATACCTTTGAATCTATTTGATAAATTCAAATTTGAAAGAAGGGCAGAACTCTGATACGTAATTAAATGCCTCCAAGTTGAAGGCTGGGTACAGGAGGAAGTCTCAAATGAACACCCTCACTGATTAAAAGACTTTCTCTGTTTTGGGCTGGGTGTTAAACAGGTGATGACAAGATATCCAGATTATCATGTTTTTTGTAGTAAGTTCAAGGGACAAAAGCAAGCTATTAATTAGAAAAACAGATTGTGTTCTTTTGTGCACACAATGGTTAGTTCCTCAATACTGTACTATTAAAGAAGCTTCCATGTGAAATAAAAAGACTTTGTACTGTAGGGCAAGACACTGGAAGCTTTCAGTGAAAGAGCTGAGGTGTACAGCTGCACAGCAAGCTAACATAAAATGTACATGCATTTCATTCACAGTAGCTCAGTCGCCGGCATTGGTGGATAAAGAGGAAATCAGCCACTTTAAGAAAGCCAGTAATGCTGCTGCTGATCAGCCATCATGGATGGAACTCGCCAAAAAGAAATCGCAAGCTTGGAGTGACATGCCACAGATTATAAAATAGCCTGGCACAGACAAATAGCATCTTCTGTAATTACATCGGCTACTCAATTTGAACTTCTACAGACCAGATAATCACAAGGAAGAATCTCTGATACAGGAGAAGGGTTTTATTACACAGCTGTGGAGAAAGCGTGCAATAGGTGCAGTCAAAAAGTTTACCTTAAACTTTGTAGCAATCAGTCAGGATTGCATTGGCAGTGCATTACTTAAATTATGCTAAGGACATACTTGCACATTGCAAAATAAAAATTCTGCCTTCTGTTATTTCCTGTGTTTACTGCTTTTAATGACATTTGCATCCAAACAGTATCTGAGCTAAACTTTACTGAACTTTTGTTGTTGCTGAAAATTTCTATTTGTTAAATTTTTCCCTGTTTATAAACTGTGCACTAACATCGTGATTCTGCTGATGTGTTTCACCGGAATTGCCTGACTCTCTTTTTAGCAAAATTGTTTGGACCAGAGAGGTGTTCATGAATAGGCATTAGTGAGTACTCCATTAAAGTGCGTTGCTTGAGCTGAGTTATCTAGCTGAGTCAAGCTAGTCCAGTTTTTGGTTTTAGGCTACATTTCATGAGGCACAAATATACACATTTATGCATGACCGTGAATAAAAAATTCCTTAGCTTTTTCTGTGAGCAAACTTGTTTCCACAGTGTTTGCAAGATGAGCAGTGAGAAGATTGAAGTGAAATTGGAATCTCATTAATGCAGCCAGAGATACTTTTCTCCCAAAATTTCTCTGGTCACTACTATTCTTCCTTTATGTGAAATCACCATTCTCATTTAGGAGTATAGTATTAGTAGCAATAGACAATTTATGAATTTAGTAGTTAAAAAATAAGAACTGAAAAGTCTTGAGCCAAACTGAAATGTTGGAAAACTGTGAACTTTTTACTCTTATGGTGTCCACTTCAAACATCATCTTATTTATTCTCATTAAAAAATAACAGAAAGCATCACTGTACTTTACTACATTTATATAATAGTCTAATGCCCATCAGACTGAGTCTCCAGCAGCAGTTCGGGGCTCCTGCTCTTTCTTCACCTTCGGCTGTTTAACACCATGGACAAGGCAAATAGTTGCTGCTGATTGACCAAAATCGCTCTGAATATGTTGTTACACCTCCCAGTGAGCTATGCAATTGCAATTACAGAAGTTAGCAACAAACCCTGTTAGGGAACTGCTTTAAAACTACTTCCTCACTGCTAAGACAAACTTCTCACTTTGTGTATGTGCATGTGTGTGTGTGTGTGTGTGTGTGTGCGAGGTATGAGCGTAACACTGGGCTCCCTAGGTTTCTTTCTGTACACAATTGTGATTTTGTTTTCAATTCACATTAACATTCGTTTCAGAGAAATATATGGAGATCTTAGGAAACGCAGGATTTCCTAACTTCTGTCTTTGCAGTTTTGAAATCTTGTCTTCTGCAGGGAGGTAGGGAGGAGAACCTACACTGCCCCGCTAACGACAATTCTGGTTTGTAACGAAAAATGAAACAGGGCATTGGAACATGCGAACACCTGAGACACTGGTAATGGTTTTCAGGCAGGTCATCTTTCATCACAGAAAACAGGAGGAGGAAAAACGAGTTTTATAGCATTTTTACAAGTCTTTGGAGAAAGTCTGTGAGTCTGCGCTGGCTGCTGAAGGCCTACTGCAGCTTTTGCACAGACACACTCCCACTCATCACTTTAGCTGTCAATGGTATGGTCTCAGACTGGTTTTTGCCAACTGGCCTGGGGTTTTTTTGTATTCGGATCTGTAGGATCTATAGTAGAAATAATAGGCATATTTTTCAGGTACAATAAAAATCATCTTAACTCCCCCTCTCTCCAAAAACCCTTTCTGTAATAACAATTCACTGCCGCAAAGTGTTATTTTAAGATATGCTATTACAAACTGTAGCAATTTCAAAAAAAAATGGTTTCTATATTAAAGGACTATACCATATAAAAAAACCCTAAATTTGTATGCTTTTATAATTATTGTCATGTCCCCCTCTCCCCGTCCCATGCAAAGAGTACAGTGTTTTCAGGAAACGTGCTTGAGTTATAGTTAAAGCTCCAGCCTATTTCCTTATGATTCTCTCACTGTTTAAAACTATTAAAGTTGTGTTGAATCATGACTGAATTTCTGGAATATGACCTGTGCAATTATATGGGGAGGACTACAACTCTCTTGGCCTAGCTCCTGTTTTTATGGGTAGACGCTCAGGAATAATGGAGAAGAAAGGTGGAGTAGCGTAGCATAACCTGCACTAGCTCAAAAAAATAATATGCAGGTGGCCCCCTGCACAGACCTGCCAAAGCAGCTTCTCGCAAGGCTCAGGCGCAATCCTGAAGTGGTGTTTTGGAGCCAATTTGGGAAGCGTGCTGAGGCAGGATTTCCTGCACTGACGCCGGTGTGCGTTTTGCCATCAAGTGTGACACATTCTGGATATTGCTGCGTTTGCGCTTCCGCTGACTTGACTTTCTTGTGCTTTTACTGCTGACTGGGTATGAACACCTGCCACGAGCAGTGACGGCCAGCTGCTTGCATCCGTACAAGACCGCAAGCAACCGTCCCCTGATTTCCCAGGGAAGGGGGCTGTGGTCTTGCAGGCAGCTCAGTCCTAGACGAAACACACACCAGCCTTGCAGAATTGTGCCATAATTACGAAAGAACTTAAGTATCTCAAAATAGGACCGTCTTATGCTTCATATAAGTGGTAACATTATATTTTTCTTTCCACCCAGCGCATAACTGAACTGGAACCAATTGCTGTTCAACAAAGACAGGGCCTCTGCCTCAGGACTCGTCAGCTGTGGACTGTCAAAGGCCTCGGCAGGCGGTGGAACTGGGTGCTGGTGGCGTTCATACTCTCCTGCCACAGGCATCTGCTACTGACCATTACCAAAAAAGAAGATACTTGGCTCTCTGGATCTTTGAGCTGACCTACTAAGGGAATTTTTATTTTCTTATGGCATCACTCTGTACTTAGATCTCTTCAGTTCAAGGCAAAGGATCGTGCGGGCAACTGCTGATATGGCTGCGTTGTCAGCTAACAGGCAGAGAGTAGTTCCAGAGCCGGCGTGTCTTTCCTTGGTCAACTGGTTGGTTTGTGGCAACGGAAAGACGCAAATACAAAGAGGTTGTCTTCTGTGTATGAACAGTGATTTATGTTTTACATTTGATATCACTGGAAAAGCCTTTCTGATTGGATCAGCCTTCCTAAGGATGTCACTGCAATTGCACTTCTCCAGCTGAGAAGCAGGATCGCTGACTCAGACTGGATCTGTTTTGCTCAGGCAGCTGAAATATATATTGTAGGTATATAGCATCTAACACTGACAAACAGTTTAAAAATTCACTCTTTGTTCATGACTCATGCACAGAAATGAACATAGTTTAAATTACAGTCAAGGAACAAGGAAATGGACTTGGAAAACAGAACAATTTTCTCTCCAAAGTGCTGCATGATACGTCTTGGGCTTCCTGTTTAATGAGCAAGGTGACATTTTGGAATCGGTTGCCCTTCCCAGTGGTAAGGTACCGCACACAATGCATATGGCATTATGTATCCTAGGTCTTTCAGGGCAAAAAGTGTAGATTTTGTGGTAAGCACTTCACTATTTCAACTATTAAAACTAGCTACCTCCTAATGTTTGGTAGTTTTATGAAAAATTACAACTAAATGATTTTTACTGTTGTATAGCAAAGTGCAATCAATTTTTAAGGCCAAAGCATCCCTCTGGCCTTTACCTTGATTCGATGTTTTGCACTGTAATGCTTTTGACAGCAAAATGTTTACTAAATCTATTGCATTTTTTTAAAGATGAAGAGGAATATAAAATCTTCTTGTCAGTGAAAATATCCAACAGCAGTTTAGCAAGCAGCTTGCTGTAATTTTGCAGCGCCATTAATAGCCTCTTAGTCTAGAGGAGTATAATAAACTTGCCAAAATGTTTGCTTTGTAGACATGATGAGCACGCTACTGTGGGTAACAAAGGCTTAATTACAGGATTCTGTGTTTGTAGTTAGAAGGTAACTTTGTACTGTTACAGAGTCCAAAAAAAAAAAAAAAAAAAAGCAGTTATGTGAACACTGGGCAATGCTGTATGTCTCATAAAACCCAAGGGTGAAATGTAACCCTGGGTGATCTAGCACAAAGTTTCTGCACAGTATTAACTCTCCTAAGAGAAGGCAATGTCAGTTTGAAGTGGGCATCGGTGTCAGGCTGTCCCTACGCCTCTGGGTGAGCTTCACCTTTGCTCGAATATTCCCAGCGTTCACCCAGCCATTCAGCGATTCACAGGAACTGTTGAGATTTTATTGTGTGACATCTTTAATTGTCTGACTTCAAAAAATAAACACCATTTGGCGATTTTCGTGGATTATTACTGCCAGATAATTCTCTGTGTCCGGTTACTCTTTGAAGCTGGATGGTGACGTGACATGCAGTCACCCCGTCCATTCAGATCTTCTTCCTTTGCAGTGTCTTTCTGCCTCGGCTTCACCTGCACGTGCTAATTCTCTATGTACTTTGGCTCTATACCCAGGAGAAAACCTTCCTCGCTCATCTAAGGCAGCTTAAATGGAGGTCATTCAGGAAAATGTTGAACTGCCTCCTTTCTCCAGGATCCCAAATGTCTCTCTTAAGAAGTGTTATGAATACAGACAAGACTATGTAAAATTTCAGTGAAGCAAAGTGATCACGATAACCATTTTCTTTCCTTCCATCTCACACACCTTTGCCTTCGGTACTTTCAGTGTTGATTTCTTTTTAAAGTTAAACCGGAATTTTATTTCTCATTTTGCAATATTCATTTAAGCTTTTAGTTTGTGAGGCTTTATCATTTATTCACTTGAACTAAAATGGTACATGTTGCTGGTTAATCCCACTGAATCATAGTCTGTCTTCAGGACTGCTGAGCCAGGTACCACGGTATCTGAGTGCCTTCTAATTCACTCTAGTGAATGCCTTCGGAAGAGAACTGCCTGAGAAACATTCCAACAAAAGGAAAAGCACCACTACCTGCCCAAAGGAAAAAATCATAAATCTCTGATCACTGTCTACTAGAAACCGCCATTCTGCCCCAACAGGTCCTGCAACTACTACTAGTGTGTGACTCCCACGTGGTCATTTATTGCCCAAGCCAGAAGCGGGCAGCTCCTGGAAGAACAAGGATGCTGGTGCTCCCCTTGAGTCAGCCCGGGGAACAGCATGGACAGATGGGAGATGGAGACAAGGCGGAGGAATCCAGCAAGACCCTCCTAACACC